ATGAGTTTGTACAACAGCAACAAAGTTACATTTATCATGTGGGTTTCACGTCGGGAGTTCATCCCAAGGCGCTGAACAGTCGGGGATCAGACCTGAGCATGGGGGTGGGTGGGGGCAGGGTTGGAATGAGGGAGCGCAGAGGGTATAGGAAGGAGGCTGAAGCACAGTCGAAAAGGAGGGTCTTGAGTCATGCCTTGAAGTTGGCATGAAGAGAGAGCAAGACAAAGGGATTATGAGATGCAGTTCCAAAGTGTGGAGGCAGAGCCACTGAAAGCCTGGCCGCCGATGGTAGGGAGGGTCGGGCGGGATACATGGAGCAGGCCGGAGCCTGCTAAGCGAGTGGACTGATTGATAGGAGGTCAGCAGGTCAGAGATACGGGAGGATGCAAGGTTGTGGAGGGCCTTGAAAGTGAGGAAGAGGTGTTTGAATTCTATTCTCTGAGGGATGGGCAGCCAGTGGAGCTGGGCAAGTGGGGGGGATTCAAGTGGTTTAAGGTACAAATGTGGAGTGATCAGATTTAATACGATTTTTCCATAAATATGCGCCAAAATAGGGTTTCATGGAATTCCTGTAAAGATGTCGAGTGAAACTATTGAGGTAAGGGTTAGGCGTCAGGGGTTAAGGTTAGGATAGAGTTTAGCGCTAGCACCTTGGAATGGCACATCTAGCCTGGGGCGGGTTCATGTGACATGGGCGCAGTCAGGTGATGTGGGGATATGACCTGGGTGGGACCATGCGTCCTGGAACGGGTCACGTGATCTGGGTGCAATGCCACATGATCCTGGATGTAGTGGCGTGATCTCGGAATGCAGTCAGGTGACCCGAGTGTGTGCTCAAGTGACCGAGGTGTAGTCAAGTGACGTGGGGCATAGTCGTGTGACCTGGGTTGGGTCACGTGAATTGGGCTGGGTCATGTGACCTGGGTGCCCTTCACAGAATATACGTGAAAAAATGAACAGAAAGTACGTGAAAAATCTAAACAAATGTTAACATACAAAAACGGCAAAAAATGCAACAAAAATATGTGGCGTCCTGTAGCTCAGTTGTTAGGGCACTCACCTCGTGGGCAAAAGACCTGGGTTCGATTCCTGGCGGGGTGAAACCTTGGGCAAGTTTCTTTACTCCACACGACTAATAATAATCCCTCAAGAAAAGAAATAAATGAAATAATAATTTGGTCATTTTCAATCCACGACTGTTTGTGGGACACTGCTGTGCGCAATTGGCTGCCACGTTTCGCCCACAAAATAAACAGTCAATTCAATTTACAGGATATACTTTGAAGCGCTTTGAGACGTCTGGAAGACATAAAAGGATTATATCAAATGCAAGGATTATTATTTTTTGTTATAAAAAAATGGAATATCTGAAGAAATGTTAAGGGAAATAAAATTTCAAATAGTTTGAAATGTGGAGTAAAACGATATTTGATAAGATTTTTCCACAAACATGGTAAGATATCCCCTGCACAAACCGGTTCTCTGTACTGAATGCTGATGAGGGTGATGACGCCTCGGGTGAGAGATGTCAAAGCAAATGGATGCACAGGGAGACACAGGGAAGAGTGTCAGTGCAATTGTCATTGTGGATACAATGGTGAAAGGAGTAGACAGATGTTTCTGCAACCAAAGACATGACTCTCGCATGGTATGTTGCCTCCCTGGTGCCAGGGTTGAAAACATCACAGAATGAGTGCAAAACATTTTATGGGGGAAAGGGAACATCCAGAAGTCGTGGTCCATGTTGGTCCATGACATAGGAAAAAAAGGGCTGAAATCCTGCAGCAAGAGTATCAGAAGCTAGGGAAACAGCTAAAGAGCAGGACCTCAAAGGTTGTGATTTCTAGATTACTCCCAATACCTCATGCAAGGTATCAAAACAGCAAGATCAAACACATTCGTGCATGGCTATGGAAATGGTGCAGAAAGGAGGGCTTCAGGTTCTTGGATTATTGGAACCCGTTCTGGGGCAGGTGGGACCTATACAAGGTGGGTGGGTTACACCTGAACAGGGCTGGCAATGATGTCCTTGCAGAGAGATTAACTAGTGCAGTGGGGAAGCGTTTAAAGTAATTTCCAGGGGGGAAGGGAATCAGGATGCAGCATCAGAGAGACAAAAGTTAGATAGACCACTTGGAGAGACTAAGAGCAATGCAATAAGGAGATACTTATTTGGGAGGACAAGTCTGCAGGGCTATGGGGAGAGAGTGGGGAAAGTGGGATTGTTTTGTATAGGTCTTTTCAAAGAGCCACCGAAATCAATCCTACTCACTCACCGCGGCCATAATGGGCAGAATGGCCTCCTTCTGTGCTGTATAATTCTCTGATCCCAGGTGGCCTGGGGGCTTGGTCACGTGACCGGGGTACAGCCAGGTGACGTCAGGAATGTGATCATGTGACCGGAGCGGGATCACATGACCTGAGATGTGCTTCATACAATATACGCCAAAAACTGTTGACGAGAAAATGCGTCAAAAACGTTAAAATAAACGAAAAAATGTTGAAGAGAAATTACGTAAAAAACCCGCACAAATTTTAACACACAAAAATGTAAACAATGATGCATTGTCGAGGGAAATAAAATTTCAAGTGGTTTAAGGTAAAAATGTGGAGTAAATGATATTTAATAAGATTTTTCCACAAATATGCATGAAAATAGTGTTTCATGGAATTTCCATAAAAGTGTGACCCGAAATAAAACTTCAAGGTGCAAATGTGAAATAAAATGAAATTTGATAACTATTTTTACACCAAATAAGAATGTCAGTAAAAATGTCGAGAGAAAATATCAACTGCCTTCATATAATAAATAACAATATTTATATTATTATCAGTTGCCTTAAGGTACAAATGTGGAGTAAAATCAGATTTGATATGATTTGGACACAAACATACTGCATTTAAATTGGCTTAAATTACAAATTTCCTGTAAAATTTTCGAGTGAAATTATTGAGGTGAGAGGTCACGGGTTTAGTTGAGGGGTCAGGGGTTTAGGTGAGGGTCAGAGGTTCAGGTGAGGGGTTGGGTTCACGTGAGGGGTCGGATTTAGGTGCGGGATCAAGGGTTTAGGTGAGGGGTCGGGTTTAGGTGAGGGGTCAGGGGTTTAGGTGAGGGGTCAGGGGTTTAGGTGAGGGGTCAGGGGTTTAGGTGAGGGTGAGGGCTTTAGGTGAGGGTGAGGGCTTTAGGTGAGGGTGAGGGGTCGGGGGTTTAGGTGAGGGGTCAGGGGTTTAGGTGAGGGGTCAGGGGTTTAGGTGAGGGTGAGGGCTTTAGGTGAGGGTGAGGGGTCGGAGGTTTAGGTGATGGGTCAAGGGGTTAGGTGAGGGAGTCAGGGGCTTAGGTGAGGGTGAGGGCTCAGTGCTTTAGGCGAGGGTGAGGGGTCAGGGATTTAGGTGAGGGTGAGGGATCACGGGTTTAGTTGGGTCAGGGGTTGAGGTGAGGGGTCAGGGGTTTAGGTGAGTGTGAGGGGTTTAGGTGAGGGTGAGGAGTCAGGGGTTGAGGTGATGGTGTCAGGGGTTTAGGTGAGGGTGAGAGGTCAGTGGTTTAGTTGAGGGGTCAGGGGTTTAGGTGAGGGGTCAGGGGTTCAGGTGAGGGATCAGGGGTTTAGGTGAGAGTGAGGGGTCAGGGGTTTAGGTGAGGGGTCAGGGGTTTAGGTGAGGGTGAGGGGTCAGGGGTTTAGGTGAGGGTGAGGGGTCAGGGGTTTAGGTGAGGGGTCAGGGGTTTAGACGAGGGTGAGGGTTCAAAGGTTTAAGTGAGGGTGTGGGGTCAGGGGTTTAGGTGAGGTGTCAGGCGTTCAGGTGAGGGGTCAGGGGTTTAGGTGAGGGCTCAGGGGTTTAGGTGAGGGTGAAGGGTTGGGTTTAAGTGAGGGTGAAGGGTCGGGTTTAGGTGAGGGTGCGGTGTCAGGGGTTTAGGTGAGGGTTAGGGTTCAGGGGTTTAGGTGAGGGTTAGGGGTCAGGGGTTCAGGTGAGGGGTCAGAGGTTTAGGTGAATGTGCGGGGTCAGGGGTTTAGGTGAGGGGTTGGGTTTAGGTGAATGTGCGGGGTCAGGGGTTTAGGTGAGGATGAGGGATTAGGGTTTGGGATAAAGGTTAGGGTGAAGGTTAGGTTTTAGGGTTATCGGTCATGTAACCTTAACTGACCCACGTAGCATGGGGAGGAGTCACATGACCTGGGTTGCGTTCAGGTCACTTGGGGTGCGGTCAGGTGGACTGGGCCGTGGTCACGTGACCTGTATGCCATCACATTACCTGTCCTGTAGCTCAGTGGTTAGTTCACTTGGCTGGCAAGCAAGAGGACCTCGGTTAGATTCGTGCACCCAGCAAAACCTTAGGCAAGTTTCCTTATTCCACTCGCCTCTGTTTATCCAGTAGTGAGTAGGAATGTGATTGTTGGTCGGTTGGTGTATCACTTTGCTATATCAAATGCAAGGATTATTATTGTTACGGGGAGGTGGGCAGTGTGGCCACTGAGATAATAGCCAAACTGATCATGCATACAACATCTAACTCATTTCAAAATGTCTTCATTAATATATTAATATTTCATTCACCATAATAGATAGCTTCAACACTCAAAATAGAAAAGATAGAATTAACAAGTGCCTATAATAATAATTCCTCAATAAATTAATAAATACTCTCTGGTTCAGAAACATATTATGAATTGTAGGAATCCACACAGGTTTTCATGCTCAGTTTTTTTTACAATAAACATTTATATATGGAATAGCACATTTTATGAGCCTATAGACAATTTGGAATAAACTCAAAATGAAATAAAGTCAAATAACTTACAATAAGAGTCAGAGACACAACAATAAATATTAATATTTATAATACATCATTCATGCAAAAATAAAAAGTGATTTCCCTTCCCAACACCCTAATACTGCAGCAAGTGTTTGGAAGTATAATTGGATCATAGAATAGAAGCAACCCAAATAGTCAGAATCACAGCTGTTGAATTGTTGCTTCACATCCTATCTGTTAGCTGCTCTCAGTCTGATTAATTGGGCAATGGTAATCTATCAAGGAAACATCTGGATTCCAACACTTTTGTCATCACATTGTTTGACAAAACATTCAACAGATCGAAATCTCATTGAGAAATTATTTCAACCAGTTCACCATTTGATGGATAAAAGTCCACACAAGGTGACAGGTAGTTGTCAACAACAACAATTTGCATTGATATTGTGCCTTTCATGCGGACAGCGTCTTGGAGCGTGAACTGCAGAAATGGCACAGAGGTCCTGGCATGGCTGAGTTTCAGTCTTGACACTCAGACATTAGCTTGTTCCTCAGCTTTGTGAGTCTTGGAACTGTAGAATTAATAAAAAGTTACACAGTGAATTTCTCTGCATCATAAAGTAATACAATACAATTTACAGCACAATTTACATTTACATTTGGGTGCCTTTCATATCGGGAGGATGTCATAAAACGCAATACGGTATTAATAACAATCATGAGAACTCTTGCATTTGATATTAGTGCTTTATCAATTCATCTTTACAGGATTTACTGCTACCTGCCTGGGAATTTAAAGAAACAAACTTTCAATAAAAAAATAATCTTTACATTTGACATAGCGCCTTTCATGTTGGGAGGATGTCTCAAAGCACTTCACTTAATTTACAATAAGTGATTGTGTATTTTGTGGGCAAACATTGTATGGGCATTCAGACCAGAATCTATGCCAAAAATATTTCCTAGATTGAGGATTGTTTTGTTGTGACTTGGTACTGTATAAAGTGGAACAGTTTCCTGCCTGCTGATACCGTTCCTCTTCACCCCTGCACAGAAATGGCAACTTACCTATTCGTTATCTTGTTAATGATTCTTTGTACCCAGGGTGCTTTAGGGTGCAGACAGACTTGTTTTGTATTTGTAAGGGTGACACTAAAAGAAGAGAACAAGAGTTATGTCAGATTGTCAATCAACAAAATACACAGTTAATCCATTTTACAGTATATCCTGTGAAGCACTTTGAGACGTCTCAACAACGTGATAATCAAATGCATAGATTATTATTATCAAACCTCATTGTAAAATGGATTGAAGTTCTACTGAAAATATTTACAAAGCTTTCTACTCTTATTCAACAGAACACGATCCTTGCAAATAGGCAAATAGTCACTTTTTTTCGATGAGATGGAACATCTGCTTAAAGATCCCATGATACTATTCAAAAAGAGAAGCATGTTTCTCCCAGGGTCCTGATCAACAATCCCCCAGAGAAAAAAAATGGTCATTCACTTGGTAACTATGGGGCATTGCTGTAAGCCAATTGGCTGCCGTATTTCCTGCAAATGTAGAATTCTTACATTGTACAGTCACCCTGAGAAGGTCTTTGCGACATTTTGAAGTAATAATGCTCTATAACAAATGCAAGGATTATTATTCAATACTTATGATTTCTACGTTTCCGCAGTGAGGACCACTTGGAATGATATCAATTTCCTTCATGCGAGTTGGGCGGATGAAATCAGAGGATGGTTTGATGCATTGGCATTGCAGATTTGCTCCTTTTCCTCTGAGAGATGCACCTACAAAGTGAACAAATTACAAAACCTTAATCTTTGCTTCAATTTGTTTTAACCAATCTCTCCCTTTTCCTCATGTACATTTATCTATTGGGACTGAAATTCCATTTGTTACTTTGTTCTTTCAGTCGCCTTCACAAGTCAAGTGGAGAAAATTGCCAGCAGAGATGTGTGGGGAGAAATCCCATTTAGGTTGAGATTTACTCTATTTACGTAGCTATTCAGAGTACCAAGGATTTAGCAAATATGTGTTGTAAATACAACCTTGATTTTGAGCCCATTTTCTGTAAGTTCTTTTGTGAACTACAGAAAGTTAAAACTGAATTCAACAATTTGCCAAGTAATGGGTGCTCTAAAATGCTGCGGAAATAAAGTAAATCTTGCTCCAGCTGGGATCTTCCTGTTTCTGTGGTGCATAAGCAGAGAACCATTGCTTGGTATTACTTAATTCATCAAGACCTTGAAGGTCAATCTGCTATTATTCCCCTTACATGGCAGGTGTTTTGGTTTAAAACAATGCTGATAGATTTCAATAATTAGATGATGGGGTTCATTATGTTCCATATTAGTTGGACTTGTGTACATGTGTGTGGATGAGCCCACAGCATGGGCTAGCCCAGTGCACTTCTGGCTTTCATATATCTTTTTCACATACAATCCATTATTCTGTATTTCCTGTTATCTGTTACATCATTCACCAGGAAACCATAGTTCTGCTCAGAATAAAATGTGACAATTTCTCCTATAGTGTCTCAATTAATATTGCTTGTTTTAAGACATCTACATTTGAACAGTATATTGCATTTTTAATTCTATATTAACTATAATATATATTTGGATTGCCAATATAATTATAATTCTAGTCTAATTCTGTATACTTCCTGTACAGTTTAATAGACTTGGGTTAATTTTTACCTTGTGTAGAAGTCACATAAAGTATAAGAAAAGCGAGGATGGTGATAGTGACTTTGCTGTTCATTGTGCTTCACTTGTTTGACGTTGCTTTATTGTCTTCCTGATGCTCTGCTGCTGCAGTTTGCTTCTGACTCCTCTCTCTTCAGTCATTGCATTTATAAAGCAACAATCCTTGACTCGCCCTGAGGCGGTATCTGAGACAGGAATTTCTCCGGATGTTAATGGTTACAAACAGGTATGTAAAATTTCAAGTCATGGCACGTTTACTAAAATAGAAAAATAGGTTCAGATTTAAATTACTGCTGATCATTAAACAATCTCCTTTTCCACCTGGAAATGTCTCATTTATTTTGCACAAGTCTTGTCCTCTCCACTCCACCAATGCTAGCCGTGCTTTCAGCTACTGTGCCCTGCCCTGAATCTCTGGAGCTCCCTGCTTCAATCCCTCTTTGCCCATCTTCCATTCACACCTGAAGACGTTCCATTTTGACCATGCCTACAGTCGTTCCCCTCTTTTTTTTTTAGCTCTGCGTTCAAACACACTACTGTTAACTGTCCCAAAATGTTATTGGTGTTGTGATATAAATGTAAGTTGTTGTTAAAGACAGCTGTGAATTCCCACAGAAATAATAGGAGAATTCCAAAGCAAGTTGTAGGAATAGCAACATATGTATATGACTATGCCTGTCCATGTTACTGAACAGAGCTTAGCACTAACTTGATCCTAATATGATCTCTTTCCTAATACTGACCCAACTCTAATATTCACATGATCTAAACCCAATACTGACCCGACCCAGTTACTGAAGCCAAACCTAATGCTGAATGGGACTGAAAGGATTGCTTTCAAATGAGCCGGCACAGACATGATGGGCTGAATGGCCTGCACCATAAATTTCTCGGCTAGGAATTCTTTCTCTTTTTGAATGGCACATGGGATCTTTAACATCCACCTGAACAGGCAGATGGAACCTCATGTGAAGGACAGCACCTCCAACTGCAGCAATAATGGAGTGTCATCTTCGACTATATGGGGTCAACGTCCTGATGGAGGTTTGAGATCGCTGGAGTGTAACCAAATGAAATGGCACAGCTTGCCATTGAGAGCACTGACCACTGCTAGTGCTCCACATTTCAATGCAGTGATGGGGGTACACTGCACTGTAGGAGATGCCATCTTTTGGAAAACATTAAATTGAGGTCTTGTCCACTTGCTCTGATGTACATTGAAGAAGTCATAGTAGTATTGGAAATGGGAAGGTAGTTAACTTGGCGTCCTGGACAGCAATCCTCAGAACAAAAAGGTAATTTATTTTATGATTCTTTATAGGATATTGCTGTGTACAAATTGGCCTCTGCATTTTCATACAATACAGTCACTGACTATCACAAACCCTGTGAAGTGCTTTGGGGCGCTTTGATGATGTGATGAGGTGGTACAAAAAAAATTATTTCAACAAATGTGCTTGAGTGAATCTATGAAAGTAACCCATTAAAAAACTTCAGTGAAGCTTTTTTTTCATCAGAGGGGGACTTAGTGAATAACATCAATATAATGATAGAATATGAATTGAATCTCTGCCAGATCTTTCAGATATTTCTGATCAGGAATCCATTTGGGAATTCTGTTGATCACTGTGGACTGGAAGTAAATGGGATAAAAATGGAGTTCCGATGCCATGCAGTGGACATGCAAACTAAGCTAGATAATGTGAAATATATTAAACTCACTGTTGCAAAATAATACTAAAATAACTATGAATCTCCCTATTGATAATCCAGGTTATTGCACATTTTATTACGATGATGAGGCGTTAAGTTTTAATTCTAAAATTGCACTTCCCATGCAAATAAATAATTTAAATTCTTTACAAATATAATACAATTGACATTTATGTAGCATCTTTCATGTCAGGAGGACATCACAGAAGGACATCTCAAAGTGCTTGAATTGGTAAGAACTAAAAGGGAAAGTTTAGTAATAAAAAAGAAAGTCGGGATGACGTACTTCCCATTAAAGCAGGAGTCTCCACATTCTCCACCAGACTCACATTCCTTATTGAGTTACCCCATTGGGGTTAGGGGCAGAGAAAGAAAAGAGAGGGAGAGCCACAGTGGCTTGTTCAGCAATAGCTCTGGTGGAGACGTTCCCTATTTTGGTCTTGGTCACAGGAGGTGCATGGCCTGGTCAGACCTGCATGGACAGAAACATTACAGGATTTCAATGCCTGAGAAAATTGAATAGGAAAAATATATCAACGATACAATGTACAATTACAATTTTATCATTGATATTATCGTAACCTTATTATATCGTAACCTATATTATTGATTTATTGCCCTAGTTAATGCTGACATTGCTTTCTTAATTCTCACCGTTTAGTAGCTGTTAATGAGATTAAATTTCTGCGGTATGTTTAACTTCCTGCCTTGCCCTGCTACCTGTCTGCAATCCTTCCTTCCCCTATGACTTTGCCATTATTGAAAGCTTGTGAGGTAGATCTAGCCATAAGTGAGAGTTACAAAAGAGAAAATGTAATCGATCAAATACATTGGACTCACTCCAAAGTGTGTAACGTGCGTTTGAGAATTAAGACATCTTTTAGCTCACATACTAGTCACAGAACACTGAACATAAGTTTCAAAGAAGAAAGAATTTTTTGTACTAATTCTGTACTGTTCTGTCATGTGTATAGACAGCTTTCATTATTGTCAAGTCATACAATATTTCTACAGCTGCTATACATTTTTAAAAGGAAAGCCATGGACTGTTAGTACTCGCTAACCTGTAGAGCTGCTTTCTTCAATAAAATTTTTGTGTAAATACTAATATTAATCCTTGCATTTGATATAGGGCCTTATTACGTCTTCGAGATACCTCAAAGCGCTTCACAGAATATACTGTATATTTTGTGAGCGAAACATGGCAGCCAATTGTGCACAGCAGTGTCCCACAAACAGTCATGGATTGAGTGACCAATTTATTATTGTTTTTTTTCTTGAGGGATTATTATCAGGCGTGTGGAGTAAGGAAACTTGCCCAAGGTTTCGCCCTACCGGGAATCGAACACATGTCTCTCACTTGAACTTTGAGATGAAATTTGTCTTTGCTTTATCTTGAGCTCCCTTATCTCAACTTCTTGTTTTTCCTCATGTGGTCAACCAGAGAGGAATATTTTGGGATAAAATAGTTTACATGTTTGCCAACAATGGCAAAGAGATTGATTGGAAAGGGGAGGGGTAATATTATATCTGATTTGTGGTTTACAGCAAGGTGAGGGATAAGAATAAACAGGATAAAGCAATGGTGGAAAATTTAGAGAGGAGGTAGGGAGAGAGAGATGGAATAAGGATAGACAGGAGCTTGAAAGGTTAAGACAGGATACGTTGCAGGCAGAACAGTGAGCTAATGATTGTAAAAGGGGATGTTAGTAATACAAGAGAAAAGACAGGATTTGGGAATTTAAGTTTGTATATCCCCTTCCCTAATTTGGGGCCACTTTCTGTTTTGCATTGCTGCACCCCATATTCGACTCTGAAAATGTCAAGGTTAAGTAATTTTTAAGCTGCAAGAAGGCTCGCAGAATTACCAGCTGTTGCTACTGCTTTTGAACTCTATTCTTCCTTGTCTAATGCACCTCTCTCATGCTTACTTCATTGCTCCAATATATTTATTTGTTATTGTCAACCCTACCACAGTCTCCCTCACCTTGCCCTCTCTTGCCTCCTTCAAGGCCTGTCTCAAGATTCGACTGCGCCTTCAGTGGCTCTATCCTCCCTGCCCTCCACCCCTCCTGATCCCAACCCCATGCTCAGGCCCAAATCCCTGGCTGTCCAGCATCTTGGGAGGTCCTGTTACTGTAAATAGTTGGGATTATAGTTTAAGAATCATTAGTATTGATCAGGTTGTGAAGAGATGAATTAAATAGAATGAATTAAAGAAATAAAAACTGCCATGTGACACACACACACAGTCCTAGTAAAGAGGCACCGAGCTAGGAGGAGTACACTGGAATGTGACCCATGGTCAGGGAACATAAGGATAGCTGGATCTAAAGGATGGATGGTAGGCAGTCTACGCTTACAAGGGCATGTGACCTATGGGCAGGAGAGATAGGAACCTGGAATAATTGGACCAGGAGAATGGATGGGATACAAACTAGTAATTAAAACTGAGAGAAAGCTTAAAGTGAGCAGGTCACATGAACAGAGTTAGAAAGAAGGACTGAAACTTCAGGGACATGGAGTCAGGTGGTTTGGTCAGGCTGGATAAGATGGAATAGGAGGAGCATTGTTCTTTTGTAAAAGCTACCCTAGCTGGTACAAGGAGAAACACCTTGAAGGTAATAAATAATAATAATAATAATCCTTGCATTTGATATAGCGCTTTTCACGTCAGGAGGATGTCCCAAAGCGCTTCACAGAACATGCTGTAAAGTGAATTGACTGTATATTTGTGGGCGAACGCGGCAGCCAATTGCACACAGCAATGTCCCACAAACAGTCGTAGATTGAAAATGACCAATTTATTATTGTTTTGGGATTTGGAGGGATTATTATTAGGCATGTGAAGTAAGGAAACTTGCCCAAGGTTTCGCCCTGCCTGGAATTGAAAAGGGAAAGAATGCCTGGGAAAAGTGCAGAGTGTGAGAAAGAAGTCATGAAAAAAAGAGTTAGAACATAGATGGCTGGCGCAAAAGGGTATAAAAACTGATAGCCAAAACTAGTTTTTTTGGAGCCTCTAAGGAGAGAAAGGGGACAAACTTCTACGGGGAGCCTCTGAGGAGAGGAAGGGGACAAACCTCTACGGAGAGGAAGAAGAGTGCCTTTGAGGGAAAGAGGTTAAGTCAAGCTCTCGCTGGAGTGAACTGCAAAGAGGACAAGTTCAGCCCTTGCCGGAGTGGACCATCAAGCATTTGTCAGAAACCATACCAAGGATATTATTAAAACGTTTTATTAGCAATTATAAAACCACACAATAATAATAATCCTTGCATTTGATATAGGTTTTTCATGTCTTCTAGACGTCTTAAAGTACTTCACAGAATAGACTGTGAAAAGTGAATTGACTGTATATTTGTGGGCGAAACGCGGCAGCCAATTGC